TCTGTCTTCAATAACACTGGCTCTTTCGATCCGTGCTTTCCTAGACGGAGTATCCTCAGCGCGGTCGCAAACAAGCAGCTTATACTTATCTTAGCTCAGTTCTTGGCAAGACACCTACGTGTAAAAATTTCTCACGCGTTGCGTGAGGTGACAGTTTAATGGCTTTTCCCGTCGGAGACTAAACAGATCCAAGTAAAAATATTGCCTGCTACGAACGAATACGATTTTATGCAAAGAGGATTTGGAAGACCGACGGGAAATAAGGTCATATCAGCCAAGGCTGCTTTCACCTTGTCACCTCGCCCAATATCATATCTCGAATATAATTTTAGATGTCTTTGTTGTCATCATACAAGTTTACAAACCACTGGAAATAGATGACCGTCCGGATGTGGTCATAGTAATCCCTCCCATACAGAACTGATTCTTCAGAGCAACTCCAACACCAATAGAGTTAATTAAGTTTTTTTCAAAATGGATTTTAAATTTCTAAACAAGGCATATCAAATTATGATACATAGATTCCACGAAATTTTTGAGGCAATCATTTTGCATTGGCCTTCAGTGCGTCTTCCCTTTGACCGCTAAGACAACAAAGAAGACTCAAGGAACACCCATTGAAAGTACCGGCCCATGGTGCTTTGAAAGAAGCAGTATTGTGAAAAAAAAAAAAAAATTAAATAAATAAAAATAACTTTACAAGCCCAAGAAATTCAACCACGAAGAAAGAGGATATTAAATAATTTATTGTCAATCAATTTTTATTTGAGCAAAAATAAATTAACGTGAAAAAGGGGAGTTTCTGTTACAGAGAACGAAAATTGGCGAAAATTTCGGAAAGATCTTTGTATGAACACTCTCGAACTTTCGTGGACTGAAAGGAAATGCGAGGCATACATTTCTGGCTCCACATGACGTTGAAGTTCTAAATATACCTTTGTGCTGTCTTCAAGGATTAATTGTTGATTGATCAAATAATTGGTTCAAAGTGTAATTCGTGCCGTATGACTATCGCGTGGTGCGCAGATACTGCCACGAGCATAGCCTCCCACCCACGCAGTGGCCCTAAGATCATCTGCGTGGGAGTCTACGGCGGACACGTCCACGCAGTCGTCCTCCGCGTTGCGTGGCCTCTCGTTCTCCTCGCGTGAGCTGTTTTGGGGGAAATGTTCTTGGTATGTTTGCACGTTAAGCCTTTCGCCAAACCCAATGCTGCTTTTATGATAAAAGACCTCCTGCACCCTGTATCTTAAAAAAACTGAGGACGTAGGAAAATGACCTGTAGGGAGGGAGAGGGGAAGCGGGTAGGGGTGTTGTATGGCAGTTGTTATTGTTTTAACATAAACACGACTCATACTACCTTTTAACGTTCACTTTAGATCACTAGTTTGCAAATGTATGTTGACTAAATAGCATAGAAAACGTCAAGTTTATATAAAAATGGTAAACTTCTCAGTGTTTATCATTGCTGTTTGTGTTTTATTTTCTGAATGTTTAATTGAGGTAAAAAAACCACTGCAAAAACCGTGTAGGAACAATCTTGCTCAACGTCTGATCCAAAAAAAGATTGTGATCAGTCAAAATATATAAAATTGAAAACGTTACAGTCGAGAAGACTTTTGCAGCGACTGATCAAACAACGTGAAATAATGTTAAGTTGCGATATTTCGACTGGCCAATACCAGTCTTCATCAGGCACGAAATTACAGAAATATATAAGAAGTAAAATAATGACCGGAAATATATTTTCTATTTATGATGGCTCAAGAGTTAAGTCTTTACGAGTCACACTGATGCTTCTACTACGAGACACTGTAAGGTGTTTCTAGGCGATTTTATTTCTAAGAAATTAAGAAGCTTCTTTATAAGCTTATCAGTTTTAATTCTGAAAACTTGGCAGAAGTTTCATTGATTAAAAAAAAATAATAATAATAAAATAAAACGCTGGCTTAATAGGATGGTACTTTTCAGGCAACTACATATTTTAAAATAAACTGCTTTAAGAGGCTTGAAATCCGCTTAAGAAAGAATGTTTTTGTTTTTTTGAGAAGTACGATTATTATGAAACAGATGTACATGACCAAGTTCAAACAACGTTTAGAAGGTCCATCTTACAGTGGCTGTAGATTTTTGTGCTGCGCCATGTAACGACCGGTACGACCACTGCTTTTCGTGCTACAATTTTCTTATATAAGCAACCAAACAGCATCAAATGTTTCTTTACTCTCTTCCACGTTTCTTAAAGACGGATGTTTCACCTTTCGGTATATAACACATATTTCAGAGCTAATACAAATGTTACTTCCCCCTCCCCTTGTTTTTTCAGCGTTATATACATTGCACAAGTAAGCTTCGCAAGTATGCTAAAAGGTTTAATAGAGTATTTGATTTATCTGTTGTTTAGTAGTGGGCGCGATGTCTTTATCCAGGTTGAGAAAGTTTACCAGGACATACCTTTATTTAGAGCGCAGGGCGATTTGAAGGGTATTGAAACTCTTTCAGTTTTTTTGTTTTCCGCGGCATCGTGCCTCCGGGCCTGTACCGGCAGTCATTCGGAACGCGGGCGAAAAATTGACGAGGAGCCACCCCACCCCCCCCCAAAAAAAACAAAAACAAAACTGGAGGAGACTAGAGTAGTAAAAGGGTTCCCCCTCGTTTTTCCGGTGTACGATTCAACTCACCCTTCCCCCCTCCTCTATCTTAACGCTGCGCTCTACTATCTGAACGCCTGGAACAAGCTATCGCGCCTCAGTCCTACGTAGAGGTTCATAGATTGGAGAGAGTGATTCGAGTGCGGGCGCAAAATCCCAGCAAGAGTCATTGAACCTCATGATCAGCGGAGGAGAGAGGCATCGCGCTCTATCATCTTTTTAGCTAAAATAATTTGCAATGCTTGTCTCTCGTTTAAAAACTAAACTTAGCAAGAGGCAAACACGTCATACCTTCTCTACACTCCTCTATATCACCAATACCTTACGTAAGCTAATACCATATCACCAAACGTTTCTTTGTCATCACGCTTGCCCTCCTATCTCATTTTCAATCTTTCAAAATTTCAAAGCACTTTACATAGAGGCTAATTGCAAACATAGAAAAAAAAAGAACCGTGTAGCTGCTGGCTAAGAAGCAAAAAAGGTCCCGTTATGGCTCTTGAAGGTACCTTTTCACCGTTTCCAAGTGTTGCTTTTTTTAATGAGTTTTGGATAGGGAGGGGCAGCAAGAGCGTGATTCAAGGAAAACGTTGCGGTAAAAAGGGCGTCAACAAGGGCAGTGGGGGCCACACCTGCGATGTAGCCGCCTCCGCGATCATTACGGGAGAAAACCACAGGTTTAAGAGAAGAGTCAGAGAGGCCATAGAAATCTATTTTGATCGAGCACTATTGACTTTGAGCAGGGCCGGAATATCGGTTACAAGTTCCAAGCATTTAAGTCAACCGTGAGCGCCCTTCGCTGCCCGCCTCCCATGGTTGGAAACAAGTACTGGTTGTTTATTCAGAAGTTTGAAGTTTGAGGAAACTACTTTTACGTTCCTCAGTGGAGTAGCGACCGCCATTTCTTTGTGGTCTTCCTAGCCACACGAGCGTATAGCCGTTTGCAAGGCAAAGGCATTACCTTCATATCTCACAATAAGACCCAGAGTATTGGTTCTGTTGACTAAAACAAAACCACCGGCATCACATACTTCGCCCCATGCAAGGGAATCCAAGACAGTCGTGGATTCTGGATTTCACCCCGTAGAATCTGGATTTCGTGCAGGTACCGGACACCAGTCTTTGTTTGTCAGTGGAACTTGGATTCTGGATTCTAATTGTTAGTAGGATTCCGGATTTCAAAGCCCGAAGTCCGGAATCCTAAAGCAAAAGTTTCCCAGACTCCGGAATCTGGATTCCCATGGACGTGGACAAGGTAAAGAAAAGCTCGTTACACAGACTTCAAACAATTGATCCTGGGGGAAGGCGAAAACTATAGAGATATACACCCCTTTTTAGAAGCTAAAAGCGCTAATCGATCCAGAAAATATACAAACAAATAAATAAGTTAAAAAATAATAATAATTAGAAACGTCAGGAAATCAACTGTATTACTGAGCTTTTAATGTAATAAAGTGTTACTCGCCATAGTTTAGAGTTTTGAGATTAAGTGAAACCTCTTTGAATACCTCTTTGGAAACCACCAGAACCTCTTAAGTACCCTTAAAGCAGTCAGAAGAATACAAGACAGACGAAACGGTGGGTTGTGGCTGCGCGTTTCTTTCGCTTAAGTCACTTTCAAAGTCCAGGGGCTTATTTGAGGAAATACAGCAATAAAATAGCACAAATCGAGCGCATTAAATGAAAAGAGTTCGCTAACTACATTAAACAGTGACACAAAAATGCATGTCACAAATATGAGCCAAGCCTTAGATGAACTATGATAGTTCACCTGGATAACTTTTACATTAAAATATACGTTCAAAAAAAAACAAGCGATACATGCTTACATTGCTACAGCGCTATTCCTTGTCAAACGAAACATGAATTTTCTAATCTAATTCTGAGTTCTGTCTTTAAATTTAATTTACTGGCGTAGATTCTCTTGATCTTTTATGAAGCGTCAGTTTGAATGACACCTAATGGAAAAAAAAGGAAAGAGAAGCAAGAGATAAATAAATAGATATATATTTTTAAAATGAATAGATCATTTACACTCACGTGGTGAGCAGCCGTGCAAATTTCTTGGAACAAATAAAGTTTATCAAAGTAGAGAGTTATAAATCACTTTTAAAGCAAACGACAAACGTGGGTTTCAGGTTGACGACTTGTTACGACAGGAATGAGCGCGAGTAGATAACGTCAAACTTACTCTTATACACGACCCAGACAATTTTTAAATTTATTTTTGGTAGATATAAGTAATAGTAAACGACAAGTTAAGAGAAAACTCGGTCACACGATAAAAAAATGACATTGGCGTTTGCCTTAAAGGTGATTCCAAATTGACTCTGACTCTGACTCTCATGTTTACGTAAACTTACGTCGTGGTACACAAAGAGCATTTTTCAGCTTTTCGTCAAGTAGTAACTGATATAAATCATTGAATGACTTGACAAGGAAAAGATCAGTTAATGGATTCTCCACTAAAGACTTTAATTGGTCTTCGTCGACATCATCACCAACGCCAACGACTATAACCTAAAAGTAAGCAAACAATCATAATTACCCGTCTACTACTTGGTATTAAATATGGCACAAAATACACAATATGCACGTTAATTCTAGTTTCATTTAAGCAAACGGAGGGCGACATGGCGAAATGTTTGGGGCACAGGACACCAAATCATGACGACAATTTCGGTGTCTCACTGTAAACACTACTACGAAGGCCAAAAGAAATTGTGCCAGTCTGGTATCCTGTGTAGAAATTATTACACATTATTATTCATTGAAATTATTTCTCCGTTTCTGTTTGGTTCAAATCCCACGGCTAGTTCCTCATAATCAGCTAGTGTTGACCAAATATGGAAGACGTTTGCGATATCTGGAAAATGACGTCAATAGTACAGGGTAATTGACAAAAAAAAAAAAATACTATAACCGAGAACAATCGCACCTCCACGCAGCTTTCTAGAAATTTAAGATTAATTGGGTGCAGGGGAAAGAAGCCGGCTTTTACAATATCACATTAATACCTGCCTATATTTTACTGAAGTGCCTTAGAATAGCGCGCTTAGTTACGACAGGGTGTAAATAAGCTTGCATTGTATTTGTTTTCTGTTAAAATCTTTCCCATTAGTTTCTTCATTTTTGTCACGAGGGAAAAAAACCAAAAAACTAGCAGAGTTAAATTTAAAACAGTCTTTAAACGATAATGGTGTATTGAAAAACAAAAAAAAAAAAAAAAAAAAAAAATAGAGAAAGACACTAATCATATAATTTGCTAAACTCAGAATGATATAGACAAAAAGTAACCTTTATTTTCTTATCCTTCAACGGCTGTACGGCCTGCTCCAATCCAAGAGCTCCAAGATCGTTTGATTTGTGACGTCCGTCAGTTATCAAGAATAAAATTTGAGGCACTCGATTTTGCCGACCACCAGGAAACAGGTGGGCGGCCGCTACTTCAAGAGCTTTATCTGTACGTGTTCGCCCTTTAAGATAAATCAAGTTATCCACAGCTTTTGCGAATTCCGAGTTATTGGTGCTTCTGAGCGTTCCAAATGTGATTGACAGTAGAGGTACATCGCTAAACAGGATCAGACCCAGTTGAACATTTTGAGGAGAAACAGTGAGTGCTTTGGTAAGTCCTTTGATGAAGTCTTTCTGTTTCTTATAGTTCACGTCTTGTATGGAGCCTGAAGAATCCACAACAATTCCTAAATCGAAAGCCTCAGCACACTGTGGTTGAGAACCTAAAGTTAACGGGAAGCAACATAAATTTCTGGTATGCAAATTATATCGGAATAAAGTTGACAACAACAGTCATGTGAAACGAGAAGTAAAAACATTAGCAATAACAAAAGCAACTACCATGTATGGCAAATGCTATTTGACTATCTTTCTTCGCAACATTGGTTTAGAGTTAAACGCCGCGAGAGATATACGAGAAAATACTGTAGCCAGGTTCTGTCTTCTTTTCCGTTTTTTATTTTAATTTTTTTAATCTCAGTTAGCAGAGCACTTGTCTGTCGGGATATCGTAGCTTCGAACCCGGAACGCCCCTCTCTCTAGGCTTTCAAAAAAATCCTTCGTCGGATTTCATATGACGCGGGACGCTTTTCTGGCCGCTTCACGGCCAGAAAAGGCTCGCTTCGCTCGCCAAGAGGTCGACTTGTAGCAAGTCTACTCTAGGTCTTTAAAGACTAGTATAAGAAACGTGTGTGCTGCAGTGTAACATTCTTCTCTTATACTATGTCCTTAATTTGAAGGGGACGTAGACCCCGGATGCGCGGCTTCTCTTTTTCGCTGCTTGCTCACGGACCATTGGTGGTCGGCCTTGTAAATGTTATTGTTTACCCAAGAAACACTGATAAGTTCTCAAAATGAAACTTCTTTGAAAGTATACGAGCGTTCCAGATAGAATTGGACAAGGCATCACTTATGCTCTCCTCGCTCATGACGTGTTCTATTGTGGTACTTTCAGGAGTTGTACGTGAATTTCCTCCATGCTTTTGTTTATTCATACGCTGGACCTCTAATTATACTCTACTAATTTAATTCCCTGTCTTTATAAAAGGAAAATTGACTGGCTAATTCAGACTAACGAGTTTTATGGATCAAGATACGCTATGACGCCCGATCCTCTCCTTAATCAGGCTTAGGGATATACAAGACAAAAGAACGATTTTCTAACCTTTCCTAAGTATTTCTTCAATTTGAAGTGCCAGTGAATTTACGCTGGATGCCATTCCAAAAATAGACGGAACTCTGAATAAGTGCGCACGATTCTCTACTAATTTCAAGAATTCGTCTTCTCTGGGTTCAGATCCAACCATGATGACAAAGAGCTTCCCGCCGAGACTTCCAACCTGCCTTGCAGCGATCTCTGCAGGCGGGGCTCCTAACGCTTGGTTCCCAGTGGATATTAGCACTATCAAGCTTGGCACCTCCTCTCGAGAAAAACGCAAAATCTGCAACGCATCTTGCAAAACTACGTCCAATCTTCGCACACCATCCACATACCGCGCACCATCAATGTAGTTATAAAATCCTGTAGTTCCTAGTGGATATACTGGCAAAGCTGTTGAACCGTAGGTGACAAAGGCACCTCGTGACTTTCCAGGTGATACGTTTAAGTACTGAGCAAGAACCTTGACAAATGATTTCTCTAAGCGGTAAGCTTGTGGTGATACAGTTTGAGAGGAATCAGTTAGGAAGATGATGTCTGCATTCACATTTGTCACATTCTTTAGGGCTGAAGGTATTGTATCTAGATCACAGAAGAGGAAAATGAATCTTTTGAAAATTCAAATCTCCGGAGGCACTAAGATGTAGATATTGTTTCAGTTTCATTCCCAGAGGTTGTGATACTTTTGGCCAACACCTAGGGTAATGAAAGCTCTGAGTACAATATCTATATATTTTGTATTGCCTTTAAAACGGCAAAAACATTCAATGTGCAAAAGCGTGTTTAGCAGTATTACAGAACGCCACTTTACGGACCTCTCGTTATTTGGGACAAATTTATTGATACCCGAGGAAAGCCTTTACTATGGTCTTAAATTAAATTTACAAAACTTATGTGGAATTAAAAGTGAATATGTGGACTTAGTTAGTCCTTAGACTTTCCGGCACAAAGATTTGTAGAGGATAACTGTGAAGAGACTTTATAAAAAATCCACGTAAGTGTGGGTGAGAAAGAAAACCGTGACCTGATAACGTGGAAAACTCGATGAAGACAAATACTTGGAGCTGGTGCCAGCGATGTCCGTCTGAGGAAAAGGTTGGCTGTATCTATCGAACAGATCCTACTTTTTGTGATGCATGTTCAGGGTATAATATGCCATTATGTCATTTGAATTGCCTCATTCAATTTAACTCACCAGTAGACACTCCCTCCGGCAGCAGACAAGCAAATCCCCTACATCTGTCGACACAGCACTTAAATCCAGAAGGACACTCTCCATCATGGAGGCAACTGAAGAAAGACGACGAGCAGTTACCATCCCCAGTTTCTGTTGGACAATAACGGACTGGTGGGGACGTAGTGTTGTGATCCTCTGTAAGAAAATTGTTTAATTCTTAACAATTATTCCACTCGCGCTTGTTGGATATGAGATGGTAGATAGCCAACGAGGCGCGTAAAAATTGTTTTATTAAAAACGCCCACAAAATATCGATAATTCTTCCAACTTTATTTGTAAAAACAACCGATTTTCAGCTTGTTTTTAATTTGGAGCAGACGCGTACAGTTACCATATTTGGAGAGCATGGTATAATGGCTCATATACCATGATGGCTAAGCCAGTAAGAGCTCTGGAATTACATCATCCAATGATTCAGTTTTTAATAAAAGACATTATTCAACTGTAGGCAAGCCAAATTCAAAGTGCTTTTAGAGTAAAAACTCGATCTTACAGAAAATAGGAAGCTGTCTTGACTGAAATTTTTCCTTACGAAAAGTATGTAAAAGCATAGAAGTTCTTCATTTCCGATAAAAAAGTCATGTTCGTCTTGTAATATTTTTGGAAAAAATACCATTGTTAGGTAAAACTTTCTTTGCGTGATGTAATAAAACCAAATTCTTGAAAGCCCGTTTAGTTCCAATAGGCCCTTTGCAGCTCGGGCTCACGTAATCTATATGGCATACAACCCTAAGAAAACTAGGCATTGTAATGTTCAGTGCGTTTGACAATTTTTAGGTCTTCAACTCGTAACAGCGAAAATATTACCATTATGTAACCAGTATCTCCATACGAAGCCCTATTATTTTGCTGGTATTTCAACGCCAATGGAACCTTAGTCTTATGCGTCAAACTCATCAAAATTGGTCTTCTTGCTAATTTTCTGATGCACTTGCTTTTAATGTATGATACAATTTTTCCCATTAAACAGGTCAAGTAGTGCGAGCTGTAAAGGGCTTATCCAGCAGTTAATGTAACGGTACATGCGAGTTGTCATGGTAACTAAACTTTGATTTGTCCTCATCGTACTTCGTAAAATTTGGCAATATCTAAGAACTCATAATCACTAACTAAAAAACAAACAAATACAATATCTAACTTTGCAATAACAAAAATAACCAATAACATAGACAACTGCAACAAAGATAAATGAATGAATGATTGAATGTAGTTTTACCTGGTAAACAGGCAGATGCAGCTAAATCTCTGGTGACGGTTTCAAGGTTCTCGAATGACATGACAGTGAAAATATTGGCAGGGTCCTTGGCAATCATTTGAAGTTTGTTCATGGAAATCTTAGATCCAGTGCCAACCACAAACACACGTGCTCCTTGTTCATGTATAGGGGCAGCGGCTTCATCAAGACGTACTGCACCTGGCTCTTGCGTTTGTACGCCGTCTGTCAAAACGATCACTACTTTTGGAAAGCCAGGTCTGCAAATAAGCACTCAATGGTCATCCAATCTGGATTGCAATATTGGAATTAAAATACTACATGTATCGCACTCTTTGATCTGACAATTTTAGCCACAGAGAGATTTATATCAGTTACTTACATACATATCAGTTAGTTACATTGGCCTCGAGAGTTATGAGTTTAAATCGTGAGCTCACGGGTCAGGAAGACTAATTTCTTTACCTCACTTGCTGCAGTGTTTGGTTTGCTAAAGCAAGGGCCTTGTCAATCCTTGTCCTCTGCTGCAAGTGCGGCAATGCGTCTACGGCCAACAAGAAACTTTGCAAGTTGTTATACTGCCCAAACTGAATCTCTAGATGCGGATCCTCACTGTAAATGATAACGGATGCCCGACTGCCCCTTCCAACGTTGAAAATTGTCGCGAGTTTTTTCACGAAATCTTTTTCCCTATTGTACTGTGACAAATCGATACTCTGGGAAGAATCTAAGACGAACAATACGTCGAACAGTGTATCGCACGTTTGTACGTCTATCGCTGTGGGTGTCGTTGTAGAAAGTTTTGGAGTGGTGGATGGTGGCTGAGCAGTAGTTGATTGAGCAATGTTTCCTGGTGTCGTTGATGTGATGTCCTCAGGGGTCGGCTCTTTAATAACGAAAACAAAAGTTGAACGATCATCAACGTGAGTGTTTCCCCAGGGCTAATATTTTTAAAGACCTTCCTTAAAGAATTTATGATTAAAGGGGCTTATTATTGGAAGAAAACTGAACCAATCGACTGGGCTTTAACAGAGGAAAACCTGTATTAGGAATTTTTCAATGTGCTATTCGCTAATATTGGGGCATTTTCTTTAAGCACAACGGCAGATCTACCTAACGATAGTCTCGGCGAAGCTAAGAACTATTCATACGGATTTAGTTTAAAGTTGAAATCGTAGATTTGAGCAAAACTATACACGCTTTGTCGAAATTTTTACAAATGTCAGAAATGTTTCTAAAGATTAAATTCATACCTCCTTCGTGGTACAAGGGGGTGGGGAGGGGGGTAGTTCATGGAACCCTAGAGTTTTTGATATGTTACAGTACTTTGAAACGATTTTGCCTTCAGTGGAATGCCTTTGATCTTCTTAACAAGATGGGATATACTTTATGGGTGGTGGCGCTACTGGAGGCCTGTGACGACACCAACAATGCTCACCATCTTGGCCGTTATCTTGGATTTTACCACGAGTTAGAAATTAAGTTAAAACCTCAAGAAATGGAAACTTTTGTGCTTGACATGTAAAACAACATATAAATAAGCACTTTGCATCATTTTATCTACAAGCTTTACTTTCATTGTTGAAAGAGGTTGAAAAAAGAAACACTCAAAAGAGGCTTGACCACCTGCTCCTTTTGACGTTTCATCTCGTAACCATAGTGACTGACGATCACTAAACTTGTCTCAAAATGCACGCGAGGGATAAACGGACAGCTACTGAAAACGCCAAGTGCTGATGTTTGCCTAAGACAAAACTCTGAAAAACCTCAGTAGGGGGGGTGGGGTGGGGATGGAAGCCACCCCCCTTGTACTTCCGAGGGTTAAAAAGTAGGGGGGGTGGGGGATGGAAGCCACCCCCCTTGTACTTCCGAGGGTTAAAAGACGGAGCCAGATGTAATGAGAACTGCTAATGCTTAACCGATAAATATGTCTACTGTATCAGATAACGATATTTCGATATTTATCAAAAGGAGACTATGGGGTCATCACAAGAAAATCGCATCTTTTCAAGACTCAAGCGAATTTAAAAGTACAGTTAATGCTCACGAGCAACACATTATCTGCAGTGAAACATTTTACTCTGGCTTAGTCCTAAGGCGAATATCTACAGGTAACGTAATGACGTCTAAACCAATCAAAAGCTCGGCAAAAATTATGTGGCTACATAAATTATTATTTAAACTCACGAGGACACACTGTTTCAAGCAACTTCGCAGACTTGTCTAACAGCTCTTGGAAGGAGCTCATAAGGAACACGTCCTCTTCGCTTGTTACCATCTCTTTTAATTCACTTCGGTTCACCCTCGGTCCAACGCCAACTGCCAACACACGCACGCCCTTATTACGGAGAGGTAACACAGCTTGACCAAGAGGCTCGACACCAGGTCCAGGTGTTTGAATGCCATCCGTCATAACAACGGCAATCGACATCACTGAACGACGTGGATTTAGAAACAGTGATTTTGAAGCATAGATAAGGGCACGGTCGATTCTTGTTTGACTGCGCCTGTGAGATAAGGAGTCCACGGAAGAATTAAACTTTCCAGAGTGTTCTTGACTTGTAAAATCGACACTCAGCTCTGGTTGACCGCTGTACATAATTACTCCAGCTCGGCTCTCGCGCGAGGCTGATAGGAAACTCTGCGCGATTGCTTTTACAGCAGTCTTTTCACGTTCAAAGTCTTGGTCGGTGATGCTTTCCGAGGAGTCCATCAAAAAGGCGATGTCCACTCCATTGATGCATGAAGTCTCTAAAAAGATAAAATACAGTACACTTTAGTTCTATAATCCACGATCTTGCTCCTTAAGAAATTAACAACAAAGAAATAAATAAATAAAGAAAACCCAGACATTTCTGGATAACGCCATAAATACAAGAAAAGGGACACTGTTGTTTCGTTTTTAGTGTGTTATCTATATAAAACCTCTTCAGTTGAAGGCAAATCTAACTTCAAACTCACAATCGACAAACTGGAAAAAGGAAGTAGAATATAGTCATCGTGGTGAGTGTAATTCTCAAAAGTAGGAGTGTTGCTGACAGTGACTGGTTTCGGCAACGTGCGAGATAGATATCTTAACAGTCAAAGACAAAAAAATGCTTTTGAGGAACTGCACTGCCAGAAATTAAGCTAAAAAAGGTTCATATTCTTCCCAGTTGAATTTAAAAACAAGGGATAGCTAAGTAAACGTTGACTATTATTTATTTAATTAAAAGACGGATCCTGTATAAAAAGCAGAGATTAAGCTGATAACTTACTGTTTCTAATCTCACTGCAAGCTTTTTCAGCAACTTCCTGTGATTTTCGAAGAAGATCAGTAAACGAATCAGCCAGAAAAACATCAGAATCCCTTTCCACCATAGACCTTAACTGAGTTTTGTTGATTGCGTGTCCAACACCCAAGGAATAAACTTTCACGCCCTGATCACGAAGCAGCTGACTCGCCGCGTCAAGAGGCATAGCATCGGGATCAGGGGTCTGGACACCGTCCGTCAGAGCGATTAAAACCTTGACCACGTTCTTTCTTGCTGATTTAAACATCTCCGATGTCTGTTTCAGGGCACGATCAATACGTGTTCGACCTCGTGTCTGGTTGATGGAATTCACAGCTTTAACAAATGAATCAGTTGTGTCGTAGTCGTCAAAATTGGCGCGAACAGTGGGCCAGTCGTGATATGTTACCACTGCAGCTCGACTGGCGCCGGGACCGTTTTGGAAGATTCGCGCCAAATCTATAACAAAATCCTTCTGTCTCTCGAAGTCATCAAAGCCTATACTTCCTGACGAATCCATAAGATAAATAATGTCCACCTTCGCAGTGCATATTTGACCTAAAAGATAAAAATAAAGAAATCGATGTAAAAGTTACGTGTACGCCGTGCGATAGACTTCCCATTTAGTTCTGTTTCCCGAATGAACTGCTCACTTAAGCTGAGGCTAGACTAGAACCAGAAACTCATAAGGGGTTGAAACGTGTAACTCGCGTTCAATGTTCGTGAATATTCACTTTTACCATATTTGGAAACCTTAGTGACAGACATCCATTTTAAACAAATGGCTGCAGCGCGATCACCATGCAGATGTTTTAAGACAAGAGTTCTGCATTTCAAGGTTAAAAATACACCGCTAAAAGACAAAAAATAGAAAGAGAAAGTTCAAAAGAATGCTCAGCTTTCTTTTTGTGGAGGAAGGGAAGCTTTTCATCAAGAATATCGTCCTTCGACGAATTCAACCTTGTTTTCTTCACGACAGAGCGCATGGTCTGTTTTGAAATGCAACCAAGGCAGTGAAGTTTTTGCTGAATTTTCAGGTACATTTTGCAATCTATGGCCAAGACAATTACGTTTTTGAAAGGGAATTTATGCATTTTTAAATGTTTCATAGACGTTTTATAAATTTTTCTCTTGGGCGCTAAAGAAAAGTTTCAAAATGTGCCCCGATTTGAGATGGATTTTGCGTTGAATTTTGCCATGTGCTCAGCCAATTTCACCTGCGTGAACGGATCTACGATCCAGATAGTGTTTTCCGAATTGCTTTAAAGGATTAACTTTTTGGATTTCATTTTGAAGAAAAATTTTCAAGAAACGTCTTCTCTATCTATTGTTTTGAGTTTGTTCATTCATAAAATTAGCTCAAAACACGATCGTGACTACAACATCCACGCTGAATTTAAGCTTAAAATAATGCTTCTCACATTCATTACATGCATCGCTTTTTGCGAACATGTCAGGTTCAGGTTTTGGACACTTTTCAATACGCAGCTAATGAATTTTATTCGAAAATACTTTTTACTGTTTATTCTAGACTTTTAGTATAAGAATTTTAGAAGCCTATTTGCAGTATAAGTTTACTGTGCAGAGGGTCAACGAGGCATCGTTGTTTGAAGTGACAACTTCAAGAAGTTGCGAGGACGTCAATGGGTTTCATGATGTTATGTTTGGCCCGGGTGGTGAGGCAATAATATCCTGCTCAGTGTTTCGGTAAGACTCATGGGTCCAATCTTTGAAAGCTTTCTCGGCTTTCGCGAGTTTTTCCCCCGTTTGTCGGCCACTTTTTTCAAACGAGTGCGGGAAACCGTGAAGTAAAATTTACGTCACGTTGTTTACGAAGTTTGATTGGTCAGTTATCTCTTCTTCTCGTTCCAAATATGGTGCTTTCGGAAATGAATAATCACGAGCATCGGACAAAGCAAACATATGAGAGTTACACGTTTCAACCCCTTATCAGTTTCTGCTAGAACTTAATAAACACATCAGTTATAATGTTTTGGTGGTTACGAAGTTGGTTCTTGATAGTATCTACGAGACTCGTTTGAAACTATATAATCTTAAAAAAACAAAGAAACAAACAAAAACCCTGTCCCAACAATTTTTAGGTTTTCCTAACGATAGCCCACTGTTATGAAACAATAAGAGATAGGCGAAGCATTTGCAACTAATCGGTGCTCAACACGCAAAACAGACGAAACAGACGGAAAGAGTGACTAGTTATTTTTTTTTTTACACATCCTTTTTCTGTGCGTTTCCACTTAATGGTAAATAGAAAAAAAACAACAAATAAATAAAAAAATAAATAAAAAATAAGAAAGGTCTGAGATGTTCGAATACACCAGATGAATGTAAGACAGGGTCCATTTTCAGCAGTGTGAAACAAAGGGTGTTTTTTCGGGCGGGAATCAAACCAAGCCTTACCAATCCGAAATATGGTGGCCAAATAATTGAAATAACCAGTTGTTTAACGCTTTTCTAAGACTACCTCAGTCCGTGTTCCCTTCCCGACCTCCTCTACATACCAGCTTTCTTTCTGCAAAGTCGCCGGCAGCCATCAAAGCAACATTTATAATCACTATCTTGGTCGCAGTCAGAATCACAAGTGCATTCGTCTTGTACTGAACTAGGACATTTTCTGTATGGAGAGTACGGAGGACACCGGTTTGTGAGCACACCTGCAGAAACACAAACAATACACGATTAGCATTTACAATTATATTAATTGACCTTACTTTTTAGCAGACCTGATATTTAGTTAGAATAGGGGTCCACATGTAAATGGCTTAATTACACGGAAAGGTTTTGCCGACCAAACCAAAAATGGTGGGGGGGGGGAGAAGAGTGAGAACCCCTTTATTGACATTTTCCTCAAGTATCGACTTGGCTTATACTTGGCCTACGCGTAACCGTTCGGAATACATTGGATTGGCTTTGGACTCTATTCCATGCATGGATCAAACAACTGAGCGATACCTTTCACCTGCCCTATGTGTATCGGTTATTTTGTCGCAGATGTCGGGTTTTGAGTTTTGTTAGCCTCACTGGTTTACTGGTGTCTTTTGTGAACCTTTATTAATGCTTTTGTTCAAAATAGTGTAAGCAAAATCAAAAGTGCATGGTTTGGCACTATTTTTGCCCCGTGCTGCCTTTGCAACATTTCTATCACTTCAATTTGTGATGACGGCTCCAACATTAGGCAAAATTCTTGAAAATTTACATATCCAAATAAGAGACAGCGTTAAACGGCAAACAAACAATTTTGAAATTGTTTGAAAAGTAGTTATGTTATCCTTTATTATAAAAGGGTCTCACACCATTAGCCCTCGGAGGGTCTTAGGGCAAGCCAAAAGCAGCTGCATTAAAGGAATTCTTACCAATTTGTGGTTTGTAATCAGTAGGCACACACTTCTTATTCCCACAGCCGTCAGAGCAGCACTTGAGTTTTCCACTGCATTCCATGTCGTGGCTGCACTCCTTTGGTCGAGAGGAACACGAAGGCGGCGGCGGAATGTACGGACACGTACCTGGCTTTTCGCGCTTCGCTGCTGTACCAATAAAAAAAACATCAGTATTTTGTTTACATATAAAACAACATCAACAAAAATTGATCAACAAAAATTATTTATAACAACGACAACAACAACTATTTCACGGGATGGTGACAAAAAAAGGCCAAGTTTTTTTCAACGGCTGTGAAATTAAAGGTGATCGCTTACATAGACGGTCGCTCACAAATTAGCATAAATGCTGCGTCTAAATGCCTGCTAAATCTAATAGCATCTCATAAAGACGGCTAAAAAACAAGGGTCGCTCGGTCCAAAAGCCCGAATTCCTCAAAGAACAAAAAACAGAACAAAACAAAACAACAACAAAAAAAGTATATTTGTTTTAAAAAAACTCTCTTTCTCCCTCTATTAATTGACCGATTTTGAAGGCACTCGTCGTTTCCTGAGAATTCACCTAGAGTGCCGTCGCGCTCAGGTTTTAGCCTCTTCCGCTAACTCGCATGGCGCAAATTAGCCTTGACTTGAGGCTGGGGCTGTTCAAAACCTTTTTTTTCTCTTAAACCATAGATCTCTCAGGATCCGTAGACGCACTCTGATGCTGGATCATAGTCTCTCTTCTCAGCAAGCCTGATAGCCTGCAATGGTACGGTGTACTCCGTGTCTATTCACGAATGTCTGTTATCCAACATCTCCGTGGTCTACCCCGCCCTCTGTTTCCAGGAAACCATCCATGCATGATGGTGTTAACTAGTCTAAACTGTGACATGGCCGAATAATTTCATTTTCCGTTCTTGCGCAATTTGAGTGTGGGGTTTCTGAACTCCGGCAAAGTCTCCCACCTGTTCTTTCACTGATTCACTGACTCGTTTGTGCGTCTGTACCTCCAAGAGATGCCCAGTAATCTTCTGTAACACTTAAATTGAAACGCATTGATCTTCTTTACAAGCTCTTCTTTGTATGTCCAGGATTCACATCCGTAATGTAAGACAGAAATGACAATCGATCGTAATAATCTCAATTTCTCTCCGAAGCTAATAGTTTGGTAATTCCACAATTTGTCCATTTTGACTAATGATGATGCTCAAAATCAAAAACAAGCTGAAAATGGGTTGTTTTTACAGATAAAGTCGGGAAGAATTCTCGACGTTTTGTGGGTGTTTTTGATAAAACAATTATTTCAGTCGCGCTGGTTAGATGTGAGATGATTATAGCCAACTCGGCGCTACGCGTCTTGTTGGCTATTACCATCTCATACGCACCCTCTTGGAATAATCGTTAAATTGATCTTCATAGTTCCTAGACCCGTTTGCTGCTATCCTAATCTCCCTGCCCAACAACTGCACCTACTACCTTTTCAGAAGGCACAGCGCCCTTACCTTTATGCATCAAAATTAACATCGACTTTCTCTACATACCAACTTCTTTTTGGCAGAGTCGTTGACAGCCATCGAAGCAGCATTTATAGTGACTCGCTTGATCGCAGTCAGAATCACAAGTACATTCGTCTTGAACGGAACTGGGGCACTGCACGCTTGTAGAGTACGGCGGACATTTATTTGCCAGGACCTCTGTAATTGAATTTGGTTTCGCAAAACAACGTGTTTTCTTTTAAATAACACTATGGAATGAAATACTTTAGGGGGCTTTTACTGTCACAATATTGCTTGACCTCCAAGTTGGTAACAGGTTGGCTAACATGTGTTTTTCATTTAATTATCTGAACGTTTTTTCAATGCAGATTTTTGAGCAGATGCTCAGTTTTGTAATAGGTAGATCTAGTACAATAACACCAAACTTGAAAATCTTCCAAGCTTCTTGCAATGTGCTCTTTCTGATATGTGCTTCTCGTGTTGTTTATCCCATAATACACGGACACGCACCAATGATTTTTTGTCCTTTCGAGTCATTAATGTATCTATATACTAGCCGGTCCAAAGTCATTTCCGAACACAAAAAAAGTCCAATTAATTCCACGGTTTTCTTCTTTTTTAACACAAAACCGGTTTAATGTAGTCTGCGTGTCAGGCTCCATAATCATTGCGTGACTGTGTGACTGAAATATCAAAGAGATCTTACGTACAAGGAAAACAGGCAAGTGAATCTGATAGCAAAAGAACTCAAGAAACTAAACACGAGCCAATTCATGCCCGTCTAATGTCGAAAGGAGGGTTAACCCTCAAAATCTTGTAAAATTGCAAATGTCTAAACCATGTCGGCAAACGCCGCTGAGAGTGAGACACTGAAGATGCTCAATTTCCATTCATTTCCCTTTGCATGCGTGTAGTCATGGATATGGATATACAAAATCACACTTATTCTGACGACAAGTTACATCTCCGACGGCTTCTCAGATGGTATGGTAAAACGTAAAGGAGAATGCTCATGATTAATTACGAATCATACGGTCCAGGCTTGCCATGCAACCGAGACTGATAAACATCTGAAAAATATGGCTAAATACAGCACTATTGTATAAGCAAATAAAACACTTACGGGCCGTGAGCATCATGATTAGAAAAATGCCAGGAGAATGATAGCAAGGGCAAATAATCATAAACATTGTTAATCCTCAGCAATAACAAGAAAATGGCCGACGGTATAGAGAATGGAATACCTGGTGCGATTCGCAGTTTAGGAACATCTCAAATTTCAAACCACAACAGCGTGCAAGTAAGATCGTACATACCGTATTTATTCGATTAACCGCCCTGGGCGCTTATTAAATTTTTGGACCTTGAGAGTGGGCGCTTATTCGAGGCTGGGCGCTTATTAAATTTTCAACAAAACAATAAATGGTAATAACAGAACGCGAAGATGTAACAAAGCAAGGTTCCTGTAAAATAGAAGAAAACTCCGTCTTCGAGGAAGTCTCTTATTAGTATTTATTCAATTTTAGGGGTGGTCGCTAATTTGAGTTTGAGTGGGAGTGGGAGGAAGGTGTGGTGGGGTGGGCGCTTATTCGAGGCTGGGCGCTTATTACCTTTTTCTGCCTTTAGGATGGGCGTTTATTCGAGGTGGGCGCTAATTCGAGGTTGGGCGCTTATTCGAATAAATACGGTAGTTAACAGTTAACAGTGGTTTCAAACCTGTAATTATTATTTTTACAAGCTGTGAGTATAAATATATACTGAATTGTCGCTTGAGTCGATGATATCGACAAACGTGAATTCCTGTGGGACGTATATATAGTTAAGAGGAGGTTATAGAGAGAGAGAGGCTTTCACCCTCTTACTAAGTCATCCTTTTGAACGTTGGAGGCGAAAAAAAATTTTTTACCTAGTACAGTATTATTGTCATTTTCCGGATTTAACCAGATTTAACTAACAGAATTACCGTCTTTTGATTTTGATTAGGGAGTTTACTCAACATGACGGCAAAAAAAAACAAAAAAAAAAAAAAAAAAAAATGCTTGTGTGTGACTAACATGACAGGGCTATCAATTGCGTGTTTTGTCGTGATTTTCACTAACATTTATGTTTTCTAGGTCTTCTACAAAAAGATTTGTTTAAGGAACGTGAAGTTTTGGCGGAAAATGTTTTTAGACAAATTTATTGTCACGCCTGTCACACAAGGTTTGCTTGTCTACTTTCCTCTCCCTGAGTTTACTCAACATGACGGCAGAAAAAAAAAGGCTTGTGTGTGACTAACATGACAGGGCTATTAATTGCGTGTTTTGTCGTGATTTTCACTAACATTAATGCTTTCAGGTCTTTTACAAAAAGAACTGTTTAAGGAACGTGAAGTTTGGCGGAAAACGTTATTAGTCAAAATTATTGTCACGCTTGTCACACAAGGTTTGCTTGTCTACTTCCCTTTCCTTTAAAGTTTACTCAACATGACGGCAGAAAAAACAAGGCTTGTGTGTGACTAACATGACAGGGCTATTAATTGCGTGTTTTGTCGTGATTTTCACTAACATTAATGCTTTCAGGTCTTTTACAAAAAGAACTGTTTAAGGAACGTGAAGTTTGGCGGAAAACGTTATTAGTCAAAATTATTGTCACGCTTGTCGCACAAGGTTTGCTGTCTACTATCCTCTCCCGTCCAGATGCGTAAATTCACTATTATCTCGGGGCCGCGCGGCGCTTAGTAACGTTTTTGCTCCGAATATGCGGTGCTTATTCGAGTACATACAGTATTTTGCCTTTGTAAGCGATCACCTTTTCACCCATCCTTGTGGACCGAGGGGCAGCTAGTCGGGACGATATAATGTTAGTGATGAAGTTTAATGTAAGATCGAACTTTCACCACGAACCGTTGTATCGTCCCGACTAGCTGCCCCTGGGTCCCTGAGGATGCTTTTGACCCCAGCGGTTGGTTATTAATGAGGTAGGCTGCCGGCATCTTATCAGGTGATCATCAGGGCCCGTACTATCTATTCGCTAAGGCCTAACAGGCTTAGCGTAACAAGCTGCAATCAACTGGGGCACGACTGATAATCTCGCTGCAGTTGCACTTGTGACTAAAGTACTTCTGCGTTTCCTCCCTAAGCTACGCAGTCGATAGGGTTTTTTACCTTTGTGTATGTAATTTATGAGACAGGTGGAGAAAGGTAACTGTAACAAGGGATTTTAAGAGGCCACCTTTTACCCCCACTCCCCCCCCCGCTAATGAAACTAAATGTAGATATAGCAAGGACGCATACATTTCGACTTACTTGCTGAGCAAAACAAAAACCCGCACGAATGCTTGCAACATCTTTGGCTTCCAGGACACTGACGATCGTGTTCACATCTGTGGGACCCAGGACATGGTACGGTGAAAATAACCGGGCAAAAGTCCGTTTTCGTCGACGGTGTTGGAGAATAGGCTGCGACATAAGGAATGTTAATGCGAGAATATCACACAAGAAACGTCCAATAGGGTTCCCTTTTTATGGAGAGTGTCATTTCTTATAACGGTTAGTTTGAGGTGGTGTATTTGATGCCTGGTTTTAATACAAACTAGACGATGCGTACAAAATAAAATAAAACAAACTAGTAGTGGTAAACAAATGAATAAATCAATAAATAAAATGGAATTACCGTATTTCCTCGAATAATAGCCGTCCCTCCATCAATCGCCTGTCTCGAATAATCACCCCACAACCCCTCTCACCATCTTCTCTTTCTTTTATCCCCCCGGTCAAGTTTGAATGGAGTCTGATCCATGACAATTCAAGCTCTGAACCAAATTTGAAATTTGGAACACTATGTTCAGTTTATTTGATTTGATGATTTTTTGATTTATTGGGATGATAAAACAAAGTATTTAGGGCACGACTTCCAATGAGCAATATTTGAAATAATCGCCTCCCTCGAATAATCGCCTTCCCTCGAATATTCTATGAAAGAAATGATTGCCCCCGGCTATTAATCGATGAAATACTGTGAACCTACACCCACAGAAAGTCGAATAAATTAAGGTATCTCTGGTTGTCGCTTGCATGGCAGCTTGATTATCTCTGTTGTGGAACATAAGTCGCAGTTTTAGGGAGGAAATGATGAAACTTTGTGATAAAAATCGAGAATCCATTGAAAGAATATACACAAGACTAAACTCTTTAGGAAACATAGAAGTTGGTAACTGCTGTACTAACTTGTTGAAGGAGTTGTGCTTGTTAAAACGGTGGAGGGTGTGGACGGTGTGGTCGATGCCGTTGAGGGTGTACTTTCTTTCGTTGTTGTCCTTTGTGTTGATACTGGCGCGGCCTGTGGAGTACTCACATCCTCCGTAGTAGATGTAAATTCCTATTTGTTAGAAGATAATAATTTACAAATTGCCAAGGAGGCTTTAACCGTTTTAATCATAACTAAAGAGAACCAGAGTTGACGGTTTGATATTCTCTTATTTCTGTAAATAGGACAATGGAAAAGGAAAGCAAGGACCATGCTTATAGTACGGACTTAAAGGGGAGTCACGAGGATATTACTGACTTAGGCCATTCTGTAGGAAAGTCATTACTTAGTGCCTTTACCATACGGAAAATGCTGCTGAAGAGTTATGAGGAAGATATCGAACAAATCAGAGAGCACTAATCATAATAATGTTTCCGGTTCAGGCATAGCATTAAAACTGGACAAAAAGTTGACCCAACGTTTTCAAATTTCAATCCACTTCTACCTTTGCCAAGGAGGCTTCGACCGTTTTAATCATAACTGAAAAGAACCAGAGTTAACGGTTTGATATTCTCTTATTTCTGTAAATAGGACAATGAAAAAGGAAAGCAAGCACCATGCTTATAGTACGGACTTAAAGGGGAGTCACGAGGATATTGCTGACTTAGGCCATTCTGTAGAAAAGTCATTACTTAGTGTCTTTACCATACGGAAAATGCTGCTGAAGAGTTATGAGGAAGATATCAAACAAACCAGAGTGCGGTAACCATAATAATGTTTCTGGTTATATTTTCAGGCAAAGCATAAAAACTGGACAAATTGTTGACCCAACGCTTTCAAATTTCAATCCATTTCCACCCTTGCCATCTGTAGCAACAGACTTCATGAAAAGTTTCACTGTCTAAATAGTCTTAAATAACGAAACTGTACCATAAACTGTTCTAACTACAACAACAACAACGGCATCAACCAAACCTCAGATGTAGTTGTTGATGAAGGCGTAGGAATTGTCTTCGTTGGCCGTGTGGCGGCGAGACCAAGTGTTTCTGTAAATAATAGTAAAAAAGCGCACTTATTCATAACGTAGTAGAATTGTTTCAATTTTTTTTGCAGTGGAATGAAGATATAACACTATACTATTAAATGTATCCAAGTTCCGCCAGAAGGGCATCAATGAAACTCGATGAAAAGAAAAGAAAAAACAAACAAACAAAGAAACAACAACAAGAAAGAAAAACAACAACAACAACAACAACAAAAAATGAAACAGATTAATGGAACTTACGTGATAAGACCGTTGAAGCAACTCTGGGGACATAGCACATCAGTTCATCAAATGACGTAGCAGTAAACACATTTTCCGGTTCAGTAGCCATTCGGCGAAGGTTTGGGAAATCAGTTCCATTTCCGACGCCCACGATGTTAACAACCTAAAATTCAGTTTTAAGAAGTAATTGTCATGTACATCTCGCTCCTGGGAGAAAATGGCTGCTGGCAGCACGAAGTGTAATAATACGACGAATCAACAACTCAACAGCAGTGATGATGGACGTAGCGGCAGACAGGTAGAAAGGACAGTAATGAATTCAAAGGAGCTGAGCTTCACACATTTTGGACCTAACCCTTGCGACAAAGACTGTCACTTCCGCATTTACAAAAGACGATGCATTCGCTGAGCAAACAGCTAGTGAAGCTAGGATAGGTAACCCATGGTCAGTCCTACCGACGGAGGCCTACTGTAGTTCGGCTGATACGCCGTGCACGCCAGGATAAAAAAGAATATGGGAATACTTGCAACTGACCATAAGCCCTTTAAGTTATAGAAATCAATCAATCATTCCGGCAATCAATCAATTAATCGATCAACCAATCAATCAATTAATCAACCATCGATCGACCAATAAATCAATCAATCACTTAATCAATCAACCAATCATTCGATTTACCAATCAATCAATTTACTAATAAATGAATATTTATACAGATAGATCAATAAATACCTTTCCCTCCTGACGAAGCATTCTTCCTAATGCCTCGGCTGAATCACTTCGCGGCAAATCCTTGTTGGTAATCACTATAATCACTTTAGGTAGGTCATCGGATGAAAAACCATTCGCTGCAGACGGCAGTGCAAAAACCAGTTGGCTGCCTCCACCACGGTATCGAAGATTTTCGACGGCTTCTGAAAAACGATCCATATCCCTAAAGGCTTCCATTGAGATTGCTTTTTCGAAGAAAGAATCAAATATTATGACTGCCGACTTTGTGCGAGTGGGGCTGTGGTTCAATGCTAGGGCTAAGGCCTTGGTGAAGTCTTTTTCTAGTTGGTAATTTTCGGGCCCAACAAAAGAGGAGGCGTCTAACACGTACATGACTTCAGCCTTGTAATACTCGGGTACCATAATACCTGTAAATAATGGAAATTAACGAAGCATTCAATGATGAACCAAGAAAACTAAAATAGAAAGGTTTGTTGGTGACCTCAAAGGTTTGCGCAGAGTATGGTGCGAGAAGTGTCATTGAGATCATAAGGGCTTGCAGAGTATTTAGGAATCTATTTTGATCAGAGTCTTGTTGCCATTTGCGCAATTTCTTTGGTATAGATTACTGAACCGGACTCGTGGACAAAATTTAATATGAAACAGCTATAATAGTTTGATAAAAAACATTACACTTCAATTTGTTCTTCCAGGAAACTTTGCTATTCCGTTTTAAGATGGTATTTTTTATATTAACTTTAAAAGAAAGTCTCATCGTTCTAATTTTTGATGTGAAATTCTTCATTGTCTTATTTTGCCCTCGTTTCTTATTTAATAATAAACATTTATGACAATACTTGAAGTTTCTCACAGGTAATACGGACAACACAACTGTTCCTGCAATACTTCTATCTCTTTTCACTTTGCTGTTAACCATACCTGTTGGTACGTTACATGGTTCTGTCGTTGTTATTCTTCCTGATGAAGTTGTTATTTCTGGGTTTGGCTTCGTGGTTGTTTCTTTGGTAGTTGTTTCTTTTGGGGTTGGAGTGGAGAAAACTGTATTAAGAAAGTCACAATATAAAAGACGTTTGCCAAGTAACAAGCCAAAAATATTAATATTAAATATATATAATTTTATATATACATTTCGGAGTACAGAGAATAGAGGTATAAAAAGAAAAAAAAAACAATGAGATAAAGAGATCAATAATTGATTTCTTTTGGTATAAGAGAACTGTTAAATCGATGTTCAAGAAAAATAAAGTAGTAAACTTGCTTTTGGAATCGAAGAACCCATACATACATGTAAACGTCATGCCTTAATCCTATTCAGAGCTCAAGGACTCGTTTGAACCACGATTTTAAATTACCTGGAGTTGTTTTCGGTGGCGTTGTTGTCCTTTCGGTCGATGTTGGCGTAGGTACTGTAACAAAATGAGACCGTCAGATATATATAATTGACGCAAAACAGCAAGGAAAATGGTTCCTTATTTCCCAGAATAGGTTTGAGAAGTTATGGTTTATTAAACAAGTGTTTCATGGGTCTTTTAACAAACATGACAGGGGAATTGAAAATGGGAAGTAAATTATCCTTTCTGCTTGCAGATTTTTTTAAAACACATTACAAGTTTGTTGTCTTCCCGCTACTCTCCCGGTCCGGCTCCATGTCTGTTCGGTTGATGTCCGAGCTTATGTTTTTCCGGCTTATTAGATTCCGCTGCTAACAAATGGCATTAAAAAAGGAAAAAAAAATATGGGTATCTTAGTGGTCCTCTCCTTTTCCAAGTTATAAGGCTTCATAGGCTTTCAACACACATTGAAAGGGAAAAAGTCCCAAATTCCGTTAACGTTTGTCACTCAGAAACGCTTTTGCTTATTCTCCCTTGCTCTAAATCAAATGCTTACATTTTGTGGTAAGTCGTACTTTATTTTATATCTACCATTATCTTATTAGACAGGTATTCACTTTTCCCTGGCCTCTACGAATTATTCGAATTAGCTTTCCCTTTCGACTAGTAAACTTCAATAAACGTCCCAGACGTAAGCTAATATTCAACATATGCAATATAATCTGAAGGCCAATGTGATTTCTTAGCTTACATATTTCAAATAACCAGATTGCTTTCCACTTGGGCGGTACAGAATTAAAAGTGAAAACGATGATGATGATGATGGTAATAATGATACTTTTTGGATCAGTTTGTCCCATGCATGATCAAAATCTGTTAAGAAAGTGTGTTCCTCGGAAAATTATAAAATAAGACGCATTTTGATTGTGAAAGTATTAAAGGGTATTTACAACTACCCATAAATAAAATCAATCAATAAAATACCTAGAGTCGGTGTTGGTGTCGTTTCTTTCAGTGCCAGTGCCATGTTAGAAAAGAAAAAGAAAAAGTTTCAATTAAATCAATTGTAAAAGAAGCTCTCTAAGTTTCTTGTCACCTACCCAGCATACATTTAAAGTAATTGTAAAAGGAAGTTTTCTAACTTTCTTGTCACCTACCCAGTATACATATCCCCCTCTTTATTTCATTAGCTTTCTCATCCAAGTCCTGGAATGAATCCACGGTAAAAACGTTGCCAGGGCTTGAAGCAATGTCGTTAAGTTCTGAATTGTCAACGTCTTTTCCAATACCCAACACGAACACAGAAGCGCCTTTACTTTGCAGAGAGAAGGATGCTATATCAAGAGGCATGTACACTCCTTGGTTCGTTGTTTGTTTTCCAGTTGTGATCACGAGAACAGGCTGGAAAAGAAAACGGGATGTATAAATTGGTAAACAAAGATAGAATTGGAATTTTAAAGAGGTGCTTTGCATCATGCCGAAAGACCTGTCAGAAAAAAGCTGAACAAAATTAGTAGAGAAAATGGAACGACACTGTTCGATTGAAACGAACTTTCCGACAAAATCGAAGCGTTCAATGCACGTTTAAACCGATATTTTGAATACTCTCAGCAAAGTAAGACAGAAAAGGTTAATTGTTAGAAATGGATCGACAAGTTTGTGAACGGACCGACCGGTAACAGCTAGAGGAACACTTCTGGAGATGGAACACTTTTTCCGGAAAATTTCAATCTTGGCCAAAGCGTTCGATGAATGTTACAATCAATTAACTTCCGGAAATTGTGACATAGTGGAAAGCACTCAACTAACCACACAGGCTTGCCAGACGTTGCCTGGCAGAAGAGATTAAGTAGAACAAATTCAAATAACAGATATGGTAAATGGCAAAACAACCATAACAACTTCCAATTGATCTTAAAAAGACTTAAAATCAAAGCTCAGAATAATTGAAAGACTGACCGCGGGTATAGTTATTGGGACTAGTTTTAGCGACCGAGGTCTTATAAGAAAGCAATGACCACCTTAACTCCATTCTCTGCCCTCTGCAGTATGTCTTTTAAAACACTTTAAGCATTCATAAAATTTTCTTTTACCCTTGAAACATCTCTCATTCCTCCAGCAGTTGTCAACACGTCATTGTCTGCAAGCTCCAATGCTTTGTCAATTCGTCTGAAACCACTCTGGCACTGCAAGGAACCGACCCTTTTGTTGACCTCAGCGTCATTCAGGAGGCTTCCAGTTAACGTATTGAATCTGAGAACCACGTTGGCTTCAGTGCTGAACTCTATCAATGCAATGCGACCCCCAGATGAAGAGACATTGAAAAAGCTGATCAGAGTCTGGACAAAGTACAGTAGCCGATTCCAACTGCTAGCATCATCACAAAGAGATGAGTCGATAATGAATGTTGTATCCATAGGTATCGGACATTCCTCCTCTGCTGAAGAAAAAACAGAGCTTTAAGTTTACAAGCTTTAACACCTATTACTTGTGGAAGTGGCCTCTCTATTGTCGCTTTAAAAGACTTTAGCCGTTAAAGGGTCGGAAGATACCTTTAGCAAAGGAATACCAACCTGGTGTGGAAGAGTCTAGTGTTGGAGTTGGTGTTGGTGTTGCTAAAAAAAACAGACAGGGTTGAATTAGCCAATAGGATAAGAAAAAAGGAAATTGCAAATTGGAAAGCTGGTTTGGCGCATGAAAGTACTTGCCTCCCACCAGTGGCTTAAGTTCGAGTTCGATGCCAGATGTGTGTTGAGTTTGTCTTTGGTTCTCTCCTTGGCTATGAGAGTTTTTTTTCTCCGGTTACTCTGGTTCCCCCCTCTCCCCAAAACTCAAAATTCCAAATTCCAATTCGATATGAAAAGTGCTTAGTTTCTGCCAGTCTAAAAAACGTACATGTATACATAAAACAACACCAACGTCAGATGGCCCCGAAAAACCGTGCAGGGGACTCAGTTAGCCTCATTTAGCCAACGACAGATTCACAATGAGGAGAAAGTGTTTAAGATTATACCTAGTATACAAATTCCTCTTTTTGCTTCATCAGCTTTGTTGAACAATTCCTTATACGAGTCTACTGTGAATAAGTTATTTGGTTCAGACGCAATTTGGTTTAGTTCTGAATTGTCAACATCACTGCCAATGACCAGGACGAAAACGGCTGCGCCCTTGTTTTGAAGGCGAGAAGATGCTATATCAAGAGGGGTGTAGACTCCTTTTACCGCCGTTTGCTTTCCAGTAGTTATGACAAGAACAGGCTGCAAAACGATAAACATAAAAGCTAGTGATCAGTATTTAAAATGCGCGCACGAGGCGTGTAGGCTTTTATTTTCTTTCCGTATTTTGCGGGAACTAACATTTGAGATTGGTCCGGTGAACCAACTTCTGAAGTAATTATTAATTACCGTGTCGTTATATCGGTATATGATATTTCATTTGTGCCCCGCTTAACACTTTTTCCCTTCTAGACCCATATTAAGTAAGAATATGACACACCGAAAATTTGCTGATTATTTCCCATTAGAAGTCGAGTGCCGCCTCTCGAAACACAAAATAATGCTAGCAACAAAAGCCCTGTAGTTTTCAAAAACCTTAACAATATCCGAAAATTTACATGAGTGCAGATGCGAGGACAAAGTCGGCAAATTATCCTCCACTATTCAAATCAAATTCGTGAGTGTTGGTCTATTTCAAAGTCAGGTACCTAACCAACCTTGTCAACCGGGTGGCACTTTGTCTTTGACAGCCTCGTATCTAATCAAAAAAATGGTGGGCACTAAAGACGACAACCAGTATTGTTCGATTATGAACTATTCTTTTCTTTACCCGTGAGATGTCTCTCACTCCGCCAGCAGGTACCAGAACCTCCTTGTCTGCCAGATCCAATGCTTTATCGATTCTTCTAAGCCCACCGCCCTGGCATTGTAAGAGGCCGACTTGTCTGATGGCTTCTGCGCTGGTCAGAAGGTTTCCACTTAATGTGTTGAATTTGAGGACCACTTTGGCATCAGTGCTATAGGAGATGATAGCTATACGGCCCCCAGATGGTGAAACATTAAAATATGTGACCAAAATCTGAAGAAAGTACAATAAACGATTCCAGTTGCTCCTGTCGTCACAATTTGATGAGTCCACTATAAAGGTGGTATCCATGGGAATCGGGCAAATGTCTCCTGCTGGAAAGGCGAAAAAATGGAAACAAAAACACCTTGTAGTCAACATAGATTAGGTAAACATGGTAGAGTCTATGATACCAACACCAATGGGCAAGGTAAGATGCCCCCATTAAAAAGTAGTGCGTAATAGGAGGTAGGGTTTGTATGACGATAGGTGAGTTTGGGACCAAGAGAGTGATACATGATAGAGCTATCCCTATCATGTCGTTCCGTATGGAGAGGTTCGACTGCACTGTGCCTATAACGTGAAGATTTAAGTCACTTACCTGGAGCAGAAGGCGTTGGTGTTGTTTCTGGCGGTGTAGGCACTGTGGCAAACAGAGAAAAAAGTATGACACAAAAAAGTGATCAAACCATTGTGGTCACTTTTAATTACCTAAAGTTGAACGCAAGCCTTACACAATAACACCAGTATCATCATCATCATCAACAAAAACAATATAAGAGCATACTCATGCTGTGCTCAACCCTTTTCTCAGCTCAGATGGCTTGTTGGAATTAGCGATGCAGAGAGCTTTTCTTGTCCGCTAAAAAATTCAATAAGGTTCTAAAAAAAGTGGGCTCTAAAAAAGTCCCATCTGGTAGTCCGGGACAAGTAGATTGTAACTTTTAAAGCGCACTTGCCCAATGGGCAAGGGCCCAGGCAACTCGTCCTCTAACAAAATCATTAAGTAAAATGAGTAAGACGGCAAGAAAAATGTGAAAACTGCTTGCTTAAAAGACCAGCTGGAATTCAAGTTTTTTCAAGCCCTGATTCAAGCATCGAAAAAAATAGGGAATCGCTTATACAAAAGGAGCTGAAAATCCCCCAACCCCTGTTTTCAGCATAGCTGACTCTCCAGAGGAAGCTGTAAAATTACTTCTAACTTATTTCCATTACTTGGATATCTGAATTGGTTGGTGAGCACCTTTGCAGGTGTGGCGTAAGGGTTCTTTAATCACCGCCAACCCCGATTTACTTCTGTTTCAAACAGCACCCGAAAATGAAAATCAAACTTAAAAATCTGCCATACAGAAGAAAGAGCAAGAGGAAAAAAATATTGACAAGTGAAAACACTTGTTGTACCTTGGAGATTATCAGCTCAAAACAAAAGTACAGAATGGTCCTTCTGTATATATGGTCGAAGAGGGGACAAGAGAATTAACCCATTTTAGGAAACATGTCACACCCCAGCAACAATTGAGCATGGAATACTTTATGCATATATTACGACATATCAATGCCTTCAAGCTTTAAACCATTACCTACGCACAACTGCCTTCTTATTCCTGAAGTGAGGCTCTGAAGACCTTTAAATGATGGGGAAGTAAAAACATATTCAGGTGCCGATGCAATCTCAAGAAGCTCTGCCATGCCTACAGCTCTGCCAACTCCAACAGCATACACAGTAACTCCTTTCCTTTTAATCCCACGCGACGCAACTGTAAGTGGTGTGTACTGTCCGGTTTTGGTCTGGTTTCCATCTGTGATCACAACAGCCAACTACCAAAGTACACATCATGAAAAAGGAAGTGTTTGAAATTATATCTAAGAAAGTAAAATGGCTAGTACCGCTGAGATCTTAATGGCTAAGAACCAATTATCGATCTATTTTCTCAGTTAATTAAGGCGGTAGTCTTCAAGCAGAAGAAATATCTGCTTAAGCGTTGAAATCAAACGCAAAGAAGATGATAGCAACTAAAAGTTAGCTGAGGCATCCTAATGTACGTTGTATTTTATGTGATTGATAAAGAAAGAATAATAAGTGGGCAGGGGTTAAAACGTCGAAAAGAATTCATGGGTTAGGCTACCCTTGGATACTTTTCATTTTCCTGTCGAATATTTGGATAAAAATAAAAATCAGTGCTTGCAATAAATGTACAAAATAAACAAGATGAAGAGAATTAAAAAAACCTTTGATACCTTTGATACCTTTGATACCTTTGATATGCCACTGGATGGTTTCTTCAGACCTGGAGATTTATTGTTGAACGATGACGTGCTGTAGTGGGGAAAATACGATTATTGCTACTCCTTACCTTCGGTACCCTTAATCGCATGCCATTAGAAACTTGGAAGAGCTCTCTATCTGCAAGCTCCAAAGCTTTGTCTGTGTAAGTATATCCACGCTGATGTTTCATTCCATCAAATTCTCGATTAACCTCGTCTGTACCCTGATTTTCGTTAAACCGCATCACCACCTCAGGATCGGTGCTGTACGCTATGGCTGCTACTCTTGCTGCGACATTACTTACGTAAAGTTTGCTAACCAAAGCTTTGACGAATCTTTTGACTCGCACCCAGTTTCTGCGCCCAATACTTCCAGATGAATCAATAATGAAAGCAATGTCCACAACGGAGCTACATTCTTTATCTGTAAGTTTTCAATTAAAATTTTGGTGAAAATGTATTATATCGGTAAGCCCGAGAGTGAAAATTATCCACCAACTATCCCCGTGTTACTGAGTTATTTGGCAGCGCTAACGCAGCGCCATGGGTTGAAATCCCGTTGAAGTCCCGAAATTTTTTTGGGGTGAATTTGCAATTGCTTAAATTGCAATTACTGCTGCGACGATCATATCTTCATTTAAATGTGTATTTCCGCAGCTCAAATCATCTTTATTATCAGGACCATTTTGTTATTTATCATTCCTTTCAAATAATAAAAAAAAGGCAAACTTACCACATGGTCCTTGTTTATCAACTGTTATAGAAATATTTCCCAAACAAGCTTGCTGTCTCAAGTGACACTCGCTCAAATCTTGCACATCATCAGATGCGCAAACAGGCCTACGAGTATTAGGGCAAGTAGGACATATACATTCTGCGGTGTTGTTTACCACTCTACAGCCCAGATTGTATGGAGCATTGCAGCCTTCAGTCAGGCAAGGATCTACAACAGTTACCAACAACAAATTGTAATAAAAGTACAAAGAACAAGAATAATTACAAAAAAAAAATAATGATAAAATAAAGTGTACATTGAGATACCTGGTGTTGTCGGAGACGGTGTCGTCACTTTTGCAGTTGCTGTTGGTACTAAAAAGGTAAAGAAAAACACTTCGTCTCAAAATGCATCCGCCTTAACATTAACACCGATGACACCACAGCCTTTTGCTCTATCTCATGAAAATAAAACAATATAATAACAAATGCATAGGAATATCTTGAGAGATAACTCAACGTGTTATGCTTAAAACGTTTTTGTTGGTTTGAAAGGTTGTCCATCGCTGACAACAGATTGCCTGCAAATTGTTCACTTTGAAGAGGACTAGCTCATTGTGAGCTTTAAATACATTTGTTTTACCGGCCGCTTTACTCACCTCTGACGGAGCAATCGGTCCTTACTACACTACTAATAAATAAACAACTTTAGCTTTACATACCTATAATACATATGCCTCTCTTTGCAGCATCAGCTATGCTGTACAATTCTTTATGAGAGTCCACCCTAAATACGTCCTTAGGTGATGAAGCAATGTCGTTAAGTTCTGATTCCTCAACGTCATTACCTATACCTACGACGAACACGACGGCACCTTTACTCTGAAGTCGCGAGGATGCTATGTCAAGAGGCATGTACACTCCTTGATTTTTTGTCTGCTTTCCAGTGGTGATAACCAAAATAGGCTTTAAAATAAGCAAAAAGAAAAATGATCACTTAAGAAACATGATCATCGAGACATGACGAATTCCACTATATGTAGAATAAATAGGCAAATATTAAGGAAGTAAATAGTGTGTATTCGAACGTTATATAAGAGGCAAAATTTAAGGGTAGTATCCCGAGTAATATATCGAAGTAGAGTTTGGACAGTTTCTAAAAACTGTAGCTCTAATCTTATCCTAACAAAATATAAATATATAAATAAATCAAAATAAAAATAATAAAATAACAAAAATAATATTGATAATCATAATAATCACAATTCACCAGAATTCGCAAAACATTACATGTAAAATACCTTGGACACATCTCTCACTCCTCCAGTTGGACTCAAAACCTCCTTATCTGCCAGATCCAGTGCTTTATCTATACGTCTGTAGCCTTGCTGACATTGCAATGAACCAACTAGTCTGTTGATCTCTGCGCTATTAAGAAAGCTTCCAGAAAGAGTGTTGAACTTGAGAACCGCTTTCGCGTCAGTGCTGAAAGTAATGAGCGCAATACGACCTCCAGAGGATGAAACATTGAAATAGTTTACTAAGGTTTGGACAAAGTATAGCAGACGGTTCCAGTTCCTGCTGTCATCGCAAACGCTTGAGTCGATAATAAAAGTAGTATCCATTGGTATTGGGCAAGATTCTGTTGAAAAAAAAAAAAGAGTTTCGGAGTAAAAACTTACTTCGGCTGTTCAAAAAATGAGGTGAAAACGGAATCTTCAAGACACTTTAATTACTGTGAAAGGTTTGAACTCAGGAGTCATTTCAAAAGTAGGTTGAGTTTGATCGTCCGGGTGAACGTAGTCCTGACTGTTGTTGTTGACAGTGACTGACGTTTCGACAACCTGTGCGGTAGTCATCTTCAGAGTCAAAGTGAGTTGTATCACGTCCGTTGGTATTGTATGGTATTGTACTCTGTTTATTCATCTGATTGGTCAAATACGTCGCGATGTTATTGTACGTCTGTCAGTTAAGCCGTGATGTTATTGGCTATAAAGACTCCTAATCAGTAATTGGTGCGTTTCGGCACCTCTGAAACTATTGCGCGTATATTACAACCTTACAATATATGTGTGGCACACAAACCGATAACCACTTTACGGCGACTGCTTAATAATGTCAAGGACAGTCACGGTCAACAACAACAGTCCTATTCAGGACTACGTTCCCCGGACGATCAAACTCAACCTACTTTTGACACTTTAATTAATTGCAAAACATGCTGTTATAAGGACCGGTACTTACCTGGTGCGGGTGGTGCTGATGTTGGTGTCGGTATTGCAGGAACTATCAAATCGTAGAAGAAAAAAAAAAATGTCACGAAGAAATAATATGATGTACACCATTACTGGCGGTAATGCTCAACTGTTTCTCTACAGATAATACTAGGATAGAATGTGGAATTATAAATATACCTAGTATACAAATGCCTCTTTTTGCTTCATCAGTTTTCCTGTACAAATCTCTGAAGGAGTCCACTGTAAAAACATTGCCAGGTGAGGAGGCGATTTCCGTAAGTTCAGAAGTATCGACGTCCTTTCCAATACCTAAGACGAACACCGCCGCTCCTTTTTTCTGGAGGCGCGATGATGCTATATCAAGAGGGGTGTACAGTCCTTGGTCTGTTGTCTGCTTGCCACTGGTGATGACTAGAACAGGCTGGAAGAAAAAGATGTGATTGAGAGAAACAGGTAGCCATAGGATTAAATCAGAAACAGTTTCAGGCACGTTATAATTTTCCCTGCATGATCTCAAATGCGTGGGAGATATAGACCGCTGAAACTATGCTCGATATTCACGCTGACAATTTTTATTTCCATTAGCTGTACTTGTTTTATTGAACTATACATATCAAGTCAACTTACCCTTGAAATATTTCTCACTCCACCATCGGAAGTTAGAACGTCTAGGTCAGCCAGATCCAGCGCTTTATCAATTCTTCTGAAACCGCTTTGGCATTGCAACAAACCAACCCGTTTGTTAACCTCCAAGCCATTAAGAAGGCTTCCTGTTAATGTGTTGAACTTAAGAATCACACTGGCATCATTGCTGAACTGGATCAGGGCAATACGACCCCCAGATGGTGATACATTGAAATACGTTACCAATGTTTGGACGAAATACAGCAAGCGATTCCAATTGCTTCTGTCGTCACAATCAGATGAATCAATAATGAAAGTGGTATCCATTGGGATGGGACATATATCCTCTATTAAACGAAAAGTAGAGATGATTTAAGAAAATAACATTAAGAAAAAACAAAACAAGCAAAAATATAGAGTAACTCAATTTTCAATAACATTAAAAGTCCAGAAAGTGAATAATTAACATGATATTACGCTGGCTCTGTGGAAAATAACAATGACGTTCAATACCCTGAACGGCAATAAGCACGTATAAAATAAATTCAAAAAATCGTTAATAATTCATAAAAAAAAAACAACAAAAGAAATTAATGTTTAATGAGTGTTTTTATGTCTGATAAAGACACGGCTAAACTTTATCTCCAATTTCGTAGACCCAAATAACCCCAAATCTAAATATTTGTGCAAGAATGAATTTATCTAATATATCAGGGATGCTGAAGGCGTTCAAAAAACTCGCAGACGTGTTTTATCAAGTTTAAAAAGTTTCGATTAGGCCTCGAGTTTTTAAACCTGATAATACACTCCTGCTCGTTTTTTAAACAGTACATTATAAAGGTTTCGTGGAAAAACGGCTGTGATCTGCCCCAAATGGGGCCATTAAATCTCCGAGTTCGTACGCATTTTCAGCATATATAGACAACAAAATAGCTGCTTTAATTACCTGGAGGGAAAGGTGTTGGTGTTGTAGCTGAGGGTGTTGGTAAGGACGCTGTGGCAAACAGAGAAATGTAGATAACATCACATTATAGTAAACAGTTACAAGTTATCATTACGTTACCAAAACAATATTAGCATCAAACATTTGTAGATCATTACCTACGCAAAACTCTCCTCTTAGCCCTGATGTTAAGTTCTGAAGACGTTTAAAAGATTGGGATCTAAACACGTATTCGGGTAGAGAGGCAATCTCAAGTAGCTCTGCCATGTCCGCTGCTCTTCCAACTCCGACAGCATAGACTGTAACCCCTTTGTTTTTCATTCCCTGTACAGCGATTGAAAGTCTGGTATATCTGCCCGTTTTTGTTTGATTTCCGTCTGTTATCACAACTGCGAGCTGCCAAAGATATAAAGTAAAAATGTGCTTTAAGTCGCTAATAACTATAAAGAACGTAACAGGTAAATTCTATAACAGATTTTATTCCCCTCTATTTGCTACAAACTGTAGTCTATTCGGTACATATTCCATTTTCAATTTCCATATCAAGAGTTTTAAGTAACTAGATTAATTTATATTTTTATTAAGGTGACATGTTAACTGGCACAAACGATGAAAGACACAATCTATTTTATGCAGGCGTTTTCCCATGCCAAAGAAAAAGCGAAAAAGAAACAAAAAGGCAAAAAGAAGCAGACAAGTAAACAAAATAAGAAAACCAAAAATAGGTAATACTTGAAAACCCTTTTCCTAGCCGCACTTCACATTATCTATCACCTCCTGCCTTTTACTCTCTGACAACAGAGATACTTCTGTGTTCTCTGTTTTTACATTACTGTATAGAACTTAACATTGGACCACGAGTTCGCGTTTGAGTATGCGTGCCAGATTTCAAACCAAGTCCATGTGTCTCAGATAATCATTTATGACAGTAATCATGGCGTTTAAGTTCCTCCATGTTCTGGTCGGTAACAGCAAGGAGTGAAAATTCTGGGGACAAAATAGGCTCAAAATTCCAAAGTCGTTTTCGCACTCGACAAAGTGATTATAGTCAAATCCAAAGGTCGCCGAAAAAAAGACGTGGGAACTGAATGTATCATTGAAAAGCTACAAAGTTGTATTTCGACGGCTCCTTACCTTTGGCACGCTTAACCTCATGCCGTTAGAGGTCTGAAAGAGATCGCTGTCTGCGAGTTGAAGAGCTTTGTCTGTATAGGTATAACCACGCTGATACCTCATTGCATCAAATCCTCGATTAACCTCGTCCGTACCCTGATAATCGTTAAACCGCATCACCACCTCAGGATTGGTGCTGTAAGCTATAGCTGCTACTCTTGTTGTGGAATTACTGACGTCAAGTTTGCTAACCAATGCTTTGACAAATCGCTTAACTCGTTCCCAGTTTCTGCGGCCAATACTACCAGATGAATCAATGATGAACGCAATATCCACATCGGAGCTACACTCTTTGTCTAAAAAATCACAAAATTGGAGGCATTTGGTACCAATTGAAACTAACCGTAAGGGTTAAATCAATTGTTTTGGTCCAAATGTCGTTGATTAGTTTTGTCAATGATTAGAGAAAACTTACCACAAGGACTTTGCTTAGCGACAGTCACAGAGATATCTCCCAAACAGGCTTGTCGTCTCATGTGGCATTCAGTACGATCCTGGACGTCATCAGATGCACAAATAGGTATTCGGCGATTGAGACAAGTGGGACATATACATTGCGCTGTGTTGTTCACCACTCTGCAGCCAATGTTGTATGGAGCACTACAGCCCTCGGTTCGGCAAGGATCTGCAAAGCGTTTAAATACATGTTTGTTAATAAAGAAATACGAAGTAACTTCGAAGTCCCGGCGTTTGGATCAGGCGTTTGGCAAGTAGCTATTAATTAATGAGTAAGATTTCAACCTTTAACCTTAACCTCTGGGTAAAGTGCTTGCAATCTAATCTAATCTTATTTCTTTTCAACATTCACCTGGAGTTGTTGGTGTTGGAGTCGTAACTTGCGGTGTCGCGGTTGGCACTAAGGTATAAAACAAATGTAAGTTAAAGTTGAGGAAAAATTTCATGCATCTGTCTTTTTAACACATTTGTGAACATTTTTTTTTTAACAATCTCGCTTACAAAATTAACAACCACTTTTTCATCTTTTAAAAATATTTTATGCATTGGGTTCCTGGAAGAAGGGCACATGTTGTTGTAATTCATCAATACTTTATTGTTTTTTTTTGGTATACAACTAAAAAAATTATCCATTGCACTAGAGAATGTACTCTTTCAGTGCAGGAATTGTTCTTTGAACGTTGCTCTCTTTTGGTCACACTAGCGTCGAAAGGTATTACAGTCAAAGAAAAGGATAAATACATGAAGAAGAAATACCATAGCATACAATACCTAATATACAAATTCCTCTTTTTGCTTCGTTGGCTTTGTTGTTAAGTTCCTTATACGAGTCTACTGTGAACACGTTATTTGGTCCAGAAGCAATTTGGTTTAGTTCTGAACTGTCAACATCACTGCCAACACCCAGGACAAAAACGGCTGCACCCTTCTTCTGAAGTCGAGAAGACGCTATATCTAGAGGGGTGTAAACTCCTTGGCCTGTTGTTTGCTTTCCAGTTGTGATAACTAAAACAGGCTATAAAAAAAGAGACATTGTCTTAAAGACGCCTTTAAAAGAGAGAAACCATGAAATCCTTGTCGATGCTTAACCGCTAAACATCCCCAATTAAACCTAAACCTGAAGAAGGGCGAAGACTGTTTACACGAGAAAAACATATTTTAATTTAAGATAGATTAATTTAAACAATTATATTTTTAAATAAAATAAACTAAAGAAATCTATGTAACTAATTAACTAGCTAATTAGGAACAACAATCCCAGTTAATATTAGCTTTTTAAATTACCCTAGAGATGTCTCTCATTCCACCTGCGGTAGTCAAGACCTCTTTGTCCGCCAATTCCAAAGCTTTGTCAATTCTTCTTAATCCACCCTGGCACTGCAACGAACTAACGAGTCTGTTGACCTCTGTGCTATTAAGAAGACTTCCAGAAAGAGTGTTGAACTTGAGAACTACTTTGGCGTCAGAGTTGAAAGTAACGAGAGCAATGCGACCCCCAGAGGGTGACACGTTGAAAAAGTTTACTAAGGTTTGTACAAAGTACAGCAGACGGTTCCAGTTGCCGCTGTTATCGCAAACGCTTGAGTCGATAATAAAAGTAGTATCCATCGGTATTGGGCAAGATTCTGTTTAAAAAAATATATATATTGAGTTTCCACTTTTTACCGTATCTTTATCACCAAATCCTACACACAAAGTATATTGAATAAATTCCTATAAATAGCCTTTTTCGGGTCGTCACTTTCGGAAATTGTATTAAAAAGTGTTGCCTAAAAATCCAAATAACCGCCGAGTTAACGTCTAGAAGATTGTACCTCACTTATTCATATAACAGCACAACACTTGAACTTACTTAGCGCCGATGCTACCAATGGTGACGTCGGTACTGGGGTTACTGAAAGAATAAAAACGGATCGTCTTTTAATAGGAAATGTACAACAAAACTGACAAATCGAGGACAGAGAAATATATATTGAGGTAGTGGGACTGAATTTTTGGTTGATTTGGGCAGGGAAAGAAGTTTTTAATCTCAGTAGGTCTTTACTTTTATAATGGAGGGGCTTAAGCCCTCGTCCTTGAATCCGCCGCCTCTGCAAAGAGAAAAACTCAGTGAATACCACTAATTACCCAGAATGCAAATGCCTCGTTTTGCTTCATCAGCTTCTCTATGCAAATCTTTAAAGGAGTCCACTGTAAAAATATTGTCTGGTGAAGAAGCAATTTCTGTCAGTTCGGAAGTATCGACGTCTTTCCCAATACCCAAGACGAACAGGGCTGCTCCTTTACTCTGGATGCGAGAAGATGCTACATCTAGAGGCGTGTACAATCCTTGGTCTGCTGTCTGCTTGCCAGTGGTGATGACTAGTACAGGCTGCAATGGAGGAATAAAAAAGGTCACAATGAAACACTGTACTATGTGATTGTATTCTGATCGTGGAGGACTAGAGAGTTTAAACGACGAATATCAATAGTGACGCACCGAGTTGTTTTCACTGTTCATGTTCATTCGATACGTTGTAAATAAATGATATGGAGGGATGGTTTCAAAAGAAGCTGTGGTCTTGCGTTGCTAAGAGTTAAAAACTTATTTTTATCCCTTATTTGATGAAATAGATGTTTCACCATAAAGAATTTAAAAAAAGTTGACGTTTCCATTGCAAGCTCTCCCGTCACAAAGAGATTAGCTTAATTCGCATATTCAATCTCCCTAGTATTGCTTTTCTAAATTTCGCACTGAAAATCATTTACCCTCGATATATCTCTAACTCCTCCCGCAGGTGTCAATACTTCCTTCTCAGCCAGATCAAGCGCTTTATCTATCCTTCTGAAGCCACCCTGGCACTGTAACAATCCGACTCGTCGGTTGACTTCCTCGTAATTAAGAAGGCTGCCTGTTAATGTGCTGAACTTGAGAACCACATTGGCACCAGTGCTAAACTGGATCAGGGCAATACGACCCCCAGATGGTGACACATTGAAATAAGTTACCAATGTTTGGACGAAATACAGCAAGCGATTCCAATTGCTTCTGTCGTCACAATCAGATGAATCGATAATGAAGGTGGTATCCATTGGGATGGGACATATATCCTCTAATAAAAGAAAAGTGGAGATGATTTAATAAAGTGAATAATATATGATTTAAGAAAGAAAGTGAATAATTTACATGATATTAAGCTGGCTCTGTGGAAAATAACGATGACGTTCAATACCCTGAACGGCAAGAAGCACGTATAACAGAAATTCAAAAAATCGTTCATAATTCAGAAAAAAAAAAAAAACCACAACAACAAAAGAAATTGATGTTTAATGAGTGTTTTTATATCTGATAAAGACACGGCTAAACTTTATCTCCAATTTCTTAGACCCAAATAACCTCAAATCTAAATATTTTTGCAAGAATGAACTGATCTAATATATCAGAGATGTTGAAGGCGTTCAAAAAACTCGCAGACGTCTTTTATCAAGTTTAAAAAGTTTCGATTGCGCCTCGAGTTTTTAAACCTGATAATACACTCCTGCTCGTTTTTTAAACAGTACATTATGGAGGTTTTGTGGAAAAAGGGCTGTGATCTGCCCCAAAATGGGGTCCTTAAATCTCCGAGCTCGTACGCATTTTCAGCATATATAGAAAACAAAATAGCTGCATTAATTACCTGGAGGAAAAGGTGTTGGTGTTGTAGCTGAGGGTGTTGGTGAGGACGCTGTGGCAAACAGAGAAATGTCGACAACATCACATTATAGTAAACAGTTACAAGTTATCATTACGTTACCAAAAACAATATTTCCATCAAACATCTGTAGATCATTACCTACGCAAAACTCCCCTCTTAGCCCTGAAGTTAAGTTCTGAAGACCTTTAAAAGATTGGGATCTAAACACGTATTTGGGTGCAGATGCAATCTCAAGAAGCTCTGCCATGTCCGCTGCTCTTCCAACTCCAATAGCATAGACTGCAACTCCTTTATTTTTCATTCCCTGTACAGCGATTGAAAGTCTGGTATATCTGCCTGTTTTTGTTTGATTTCCGTCCGTTATGACAACTGCGAGCTGCCAAAGATATAAAGTAAAAAGGTGCTTTAAGTCGCTAATAATTATAAAGAACGTAACAGGTAAGTTCTATGACAGATAATATTCCCCTCTATTTGCTACAAACTGTAGTCTATTCTGTACATATTTCATTTTAATATCAAGAGTTTTAACTATACTAACTAGATTAATTTATATTTATATTTTTATTAAGGTGACATGTTAACTGGCACAAAGGATGAAAGACACAATATAATTTATGCAGGCGTTTTCCCAATGCTAAAGGAAACAAACAAGCAAAAACAAGCAAACAAGCTAAAAAAATAAAAACCCTTTTCCTAGCAGCACTTCACATTATTTATCATCACCTGCCTTTTACTCTCTGACAGCAGAGATACTTCTGCCTTCTGCGTTCTTATATTATAGACCTTAACACTGGACCACGAGTTCGCGTTTGAGTATGCGTGCCAGATTTCAAACCAAGTCCATGTGTCTCAGATAATCATTTTTGACTGTAATCATGGCCTTTAAGTCCCTCCATGTTCTGGTCGGTGACAGAAAGGAGTGAAAAGTCGTACTCGATATAGTGATTATAGTCAAATCCAAAGGTCGCGAAAAAAAGCGTGTGAACTGACTGTATTATTGAAAAGCTACAAAGTTGTATTTCGACTCCTTACCTTTGGTACGCTTAACCTCATGCCGTTAGAAGTCTGAAAGAGATCGCTATCTGCGAGTTGAAGAGCTTTGTCTGTATAGGTATAACCACGCTGATACCTCATTGCATCAAATCCTCGATTAACCTCGTCCGTACCCTGATAATCGTTAAAATGCATCACCACCTCAGGATTGGTGCTGTAAGCTATAGCTGCTACTCTTGTTGTGGAATTACTGACGTCAAGTTTGCTAACCAATGCTTTGACAAATCGCTTAACTCGTTCCCAGTTTCTGCGGCCAATACTACCAGATGAATCAATGATGAACGCAATATCCACATCGGAGCTACACTCTTTGTCTAAAAAATCACAAAATTGGAGGCATTTGGTACCAATTGAAACTAACCGTAAGGGTTAAATCAATTGTTTTGGTCCAAATGTCGTTGATTAGTTTGTCAATGACTAGAGAAAACTTACCACAAGGACTTTGCTTAGCAACAGTCACAGAGATATCTCCCAAACAGGCTTGTCGTCTCATGTGGCATACAGTAAGATCCTGGACGTCATCAGATGCACAAATAGGTATTCGGCGATTGGGACAAGTGGGACATATACATTGCGCTGTGTTGTTCACCACTCTGCAGCCAATGTTGTATGGAGCACTACAGCCCTCGGTTCGGCAAGGATCTGCAAAGCGTTTAAATACATGTTTGTTAATAAAGAAATACGAAGTAAATTCGAAGTCCCGGCTTTTGGATCCGGCGTTTGGCAAGTAGCTATTAATTAATGAGTAAGAATTAAACCTTTAACCTTAACCTCTGGGTAAAGTGCTTGCAATCTAATCTAATCGTATTTCTTTTCAACATTTACCTGGAGTTGTTGGTGTTGGAGTCGTAACTTGCGGTGTAGCTGTTGGCACTAAAGTATAAAAGAAATGTAAGTTAAAGTTGAGGGAAAAATTTCATGCATCTGTCTTTTTAACACATTTGCGAACATTTTTTTTTAACAATCTCGCTTACAAAATCAACAACCACTTTTTCGTCTTTTTTAAATATTTTATGCAGTGGGTTCCTGGAAGAAGGGCACATGTTGTTGTAGTTCATAAATACTTTATTGTTTTTTTTCCTACACAATTAAAAAAAGTATCCATTGCACTAGAGCATGTACTCTTTCAGTACAGGAATTGTTCTTTGAATGTTGCTCACTTTTGGTCACACTAGCGTCGAAATGTATTACAGTCAAAGAAAAGGATAAATACATCAAGAAGAAATACCATAGCATACAATACCTAATATACAAATTCCTCTTTTTGCCTCGTTGGCTTTGTTGTTAAGTTCCTTATACGAGTCTACTGTGAACACGTTATTTGGTCCAGAAGCAATTTGGTTTAGTTCTGAACTGTCAACATCACTGCCAATACCCAGGACAAAAACGGCTGCACCTTTCTTCTGAAGTCGAGAAGACGCTATATCTAGAGGGGTGTAAACTCCTTGGCCTGTTGTTTGCTTTCCAGTTGTGATAACTAAAACAGGCTATAAAAAAAGAGACATTATCTTAAAGACACCTTTAAAAGAGAGGAACCATGAAATCCTTCTCGACGCTTAACCGCCAAACGTCCCCAATTAAACCTAAACCTGAGGATGGGGGAATACTGTTTTCACGGGAAAAACATATTTCAGTTTAAGATAGATTAATTTAAACAATTATATTTTTAAATAAAATAAATTAAAGAAGTCTATGTAACCAATTAACTAGCTAATAAGGAGGAACAATCCCAGTTAATATTAGCTTTTTCAATTACCCTAGAGATGTCTCTCATTCCACCTGCGGTAGTCAGGACCTCCTTGTCCGCCAATTCCAAACCTTTGTCAATTCTTCTTAATCCACCCTGGCATTGCAAGGAACTAACGAGTCTGTTGACCTCTGTGCTATTAAGAAGACTTCCAGAAAGAGTGTTGAACTTGAGAACTACTTTGGCGTCAGAGTTTAAAGTAACGAGAGCAATACGACTCCCAGAGGGTGACACGTTGAAAAAGCTTACTAAGGTTTTGACAAAGTACAGCAGACGGTTCCAGTTGCCGCTGTCGTCGCAATCGCTTGAGTCGATAATAAAAGTAGTATCCATCGGTATTGGGCAAGATTCTGTTGAACAAAAAAGAATTTCGGAGTTAAAACTTACTTTGGTTGTTCACAAAATAAGGTGAAAAACGGAATCTTACAGACACTTTAATTAAATGCAAAACATGCTGTTATACCCATATTTAGGACAGGACGGGTACTTACCTGGTGCGGGTGGTGCTGATGTCGGTGTCGGTATTGCAGGAACTATCAAATCGTAGAAGAAGAAAAAAAAATGTCACGAAGAAAAAAATATGATGTATACCATTAATGGCGGTAATGCTCAACTGTTTCTCTACAGATAATACTAGGATAGAATGTGGAATTATAAATATACCTAGTATACAAATGCCTCTTTTTGCTTCATCAGTTTTCCTGTACAAATCTCTGAAGGAGTCCACCGTAAAAACATTGCCAGGTGAGGAGGCGATTTCCGTAAGTTCAGAAGTATCGATGTCCTTTCCAATACCTAAGACGAACACCGCCGCTCCTTTTTTCTGGAGGCGCGATGATGCTATATCAAGAGGGGTGTACAGTCCTTGGTCTGTTGTCTGCTTGCCAGTCGTGATGACTAGAACAGGCTGGAAGAAAAAGATGTGATTGAGAGAAACAGGTAGCCATAGGATTAAATCATAAACAGTTTCAGGGACTTTATAATTTTCCTTGCATGATCTCAAATGTGTGGGAGATATAGACCGCTGAAACTATGCTCGATATTCACGCTAACAATTAATTTTTATTTCCATTAGCTGTACTTGTTTTATTGAACTATACATATCAAGTCAACTTACCCTTGAAATATTTCTCACTCCACCATCGGAAGTTAGAACGTCTAGGTCAGCCAGATCCAGCGCTTTATCAATTCTTCTGAAACCGCTTTGGCATTGCAACAAACCAACCCGTTTGTTAACCTCCCAGCCATTAAGAAGGCTTCCTGTTAATGTGTTGAACTTAAGAACCACACTGGCATCATTGCTGAACTGGATCAGGGCAATACGACCCCCAGATGGTGATACATTGAAATAAGTTACCAATGTTTGGACGAAATACAGCAAGCGATTCCAATTGCTTCTGTCGTCACAATCAGATGAATCAATAATGAAAGTGGTATCCATTGGGATGGGACATATATCCTCTATTAAAAGAAAAGTAGAGATGATTTATGAAAATAACATTAAGAAAAAACAAAACAAGCAAAAATATAGAGTAACTCAATTTTCAATAACATTAAAAGTCCAGAAAGTGAATAATTAACATGATATTACGCTGGCT